ATGAGCAATTGAGGCATCACATATGCCGTTTTGTGTTTCAGTGCTTGTGATTATAGTATCGGAGTATCAGAACTTTGTTCTGGGAGAGTGATTTGCGGGGATACAAAGCAGGTAGTGAGAGATCTTTTTCCTAGTCTTATAATTGAGAGAGCATTGCATTCTTTTACATTAATTTAATGCACTGTAGGCAGTGTTTTTCTTTGTGGAAGGTTTTGGGGAGTGTTCGTTTCATTTTCTTCACACTCGAGTTGCCTATTTATTATTACTATTATTTTGTGTTTTGTTTCGTTTTGTAAATATTGTGTTTTCTGACGTGTGCGTAGTGCGTTTGAAGTTCAGAATATTTTCCGGGCCCAGTATTTCAATGGGTGATAATTGACTTTTTTTTAAAAACTTTTTTTTAACCATGGGGATTTTTCTATACCATTAATTTTCTTTTTTACTCCATAAGGATTGTTTATTAATATTGAATTTGAGTGGCGCCGACAGCCTTGTGGGCAGCTTGCCGACATATATATAGCGCCATTGCGCTCCGGGCATCCCAATTTCGAGTCCAGGCTCTTGGACCTTTCCCGAACCTGCCCCCTTCTCTCTCTCCCACCTCGCTTCCTGTCATTGCTATACTGTCCTATCAAAATAAAGGCAAAAATGCCACAAATAAATCTTTAAAAAATAATAATAATATTTAATTTTATTATTTTGAATGTGTATTTAATTATTCACTTATTTATTCAAAAAATTCACCTGGTGTTCTGAATGTGTAAGGTATTAAAAGGTAAATGTACTTGGGCCTGGAAATAATTTTCTTTTGTTGTTGTTTGTGACATGATAGACTAAATTACGACTGAATAGATAAGTTAAACTTATCTCTTTCCTTGTCCTCTTGGATATGCAACTAATTCAATTATGGTGACTGTTTTTTTTTTTATTGTAAATTGATTTTGTAAATAACTGTGGTGGTTTTTTTACCCCTGGCACCCGAACCCCAGCTTTTACGACCAATCACTGAAAAAATTTTCTTTTTAAGATTTTGAATTTTTCTTAAAGGGGTCATATGATGCGATTTCAATTTGTCCTTTCTCTTTGGAGTGTTACAAGCTCTTGGTGCATAAAGAAGATCTGTAAAGTTGCAAAGACTAAAGTCTCAAATCCAAAGAGATATTCTTTTTAAAAGTTAAGAGTCAGCCACACCTACCTAAAACGCCCCGTTTAAACACACTGGATAGCTGGCCAATCAGAGCACTCCTCGCTTTTCAGACCAATGAGCTTTGTAAAAATCTACGCGTTTCAGAAAGGCGGGGCATAGAGTAGAAACAATAATGTACAGTATGTGGAAAATAATGTGTGTTTTTGAACCTTAAACCGCATAAACACATTTCATTACCCTAAATACACAAAATAATGTTCTTTTTTAGCAACATCATATGACCCCTTTAAGTTTTTTTCTTAAAAATGATAAGAAACCTCCAAAGTAGTAACTTTTGGAATACAAAATATTCTGAATTTTTTTCTCAAGTTACAAAATAAGATAAAAGAAGATTTTTTTCTTAATGTTGTGAATCTGACCACAGCTCTCTGAGAATATTACAAAATTAAACATTTTTTTCATGAACTCTAGAGAATGTCAGTAGATCCTCTAGTAAAACGAACATAATGGAAAGTCTTTGAGAAACCTGAAATACATATTGAAGTTCTTTGAGTTCCCAATATTATATTTAGGGTTCAGTGTTTCAGTCGGAAGAATCACAATTGAAGCCTCAAGTATCTTTTCACTTTTACACTGTTGAGTCTGTTCTGGACTTGAGTAGATGAAGAAATGAGAAACATTCTCAAAAATAGTTAATTATGTATCAGAAATAGTATGATCTTCATTATTACCAGCAGACATAATCTATTTCTTTTGCGTCATGAAAAGCTGTATGTGTAAGAGCACAGATCAAACCCATTCAATCAACCATCAATCAATCAATCAATCAATCAATCAATCAATCAGTCCATGATCTGAAATCAGACCTTTAGAAAGCAGACGTCATTGTCTTTCATCATCTCCTCTGTGTCTTTGATTGTGTATGAAAGAGCTGAGATGTGTCTGTTGATCTCCTCCAGCTTCTCCTTCATCATCTGCTTCTTCTCCTCCTCTTCCTCCCTCAGTGCAGTAATTGTGGCTTCTTCTTCATCTCTGAGAAACTGATGAAGCTTCTCAAACTGCTGTTTAATCTGACTCTCTGTGTGATCAGCTTGAGACTGAAATCAAACCACATTCACTTCAATCCTTTCAATCACATCAACACTTCACATCATTATTATATGAGATAAACTCAGATACATGACATAGCCTATAACAGATCCAGAAGCAGATTATTTCCAAAAATAATAAACTGACATCCATTATATTAAATATAACAGTTATAATTGTGTGTAGTAATCCTACAGCTGTAAAGTCCTGATTGTTTCCTCACCTTCATGTGTTGAACGGTTTTCTTGAACTCTTCTTTAATGTTTTCATTGTGTTTAAGTTTCTCTTGTAAAGACTTCAGCGCTGTATTGAGCTCTTCCTAGAAATGAACACAATAAAAATGTATAAAAACACCAGATTACAGTGAAATAAATACAGTGATATGATCATACAGTGCAGATCCAGATTTCTTCAGTTTTTGTGTCTCTCATACTAAATTGATTCAGATATTAAAATCTAACATAAAACAAAGGAAACCTGAGTAATCACAAAATATAGTTGACAATGTTTTATTTATTGTAGCAAAAAAAGTATCCAATTCATACTGGGGTTCAGATAGATTAGACAAAACCAGACCTGATTTCTGATAGTTCCATTCAATCAATTCAAGACTTAAAATGAACTTTTTCAACAGTATGAAGTTGGACTTAAAAGGTCTTAAACAGTAACACACAACACCAAAGTTGAAAGAAAATCCAGAAATGATAAGGAAGAAGGTGACTGAAATACATCAGTCTGTGATGTTACAAATCTGTTTCAAAGGCTCTTGAATTCAAAGAACCACAGCGAGAGCCATAATCTCCAAATGGGAAAAAATAGACACAGCAGTGAACTTTCATAGAAGTAGCTCATCCAAGATGTCACAAAAGAGCCAGACAACATCAAAGGAATTTGCACTTAACTGTATTCTGTGTTTACTGAGTTTGCCTTTTTTATGTTGTATTTCGTTTGAATATCTAAAACTATTTAGTAGGGCTATATGTACACAAAAACAGAAGAAATTAGTATTCGGCAAATACTTTAAATAACATCCAAATTGCAGTTTCAATGCAGCTTCAAATGGTTCTACATGATCCCAGCCGAGTGATAACGGTCTTATCTAGTGAAACGATAGGTCATTTTCTAAAAAAAATAAAAATTTCTATACTTTTTACCCACAAATGTTCGTCTTGCACCAGCCCGACCTCACGCATTACATAGTCATGTTGGAAAGGTCACGTGTGACGTAGGCAGAAGTACCAACCCAGTGTTTAAAAAGCGAACGTGCAAAGAAAGCCAAACGCCTTAAAAAAAAAAAAAAAGGAAAAAAAAGTGTAAAACAATGATGTCAGTTGATTTTGAAGTAGGAGGAGAAAATGAGATGGAGTTTTTCACCCTACCCTAACTTTCTGAACCAGAGTACACAGACGAAGAGCTAACCATGCGTGACGTTTACAGCATTATTACGTAATGCGTGAAGTGGCGCATGCGCATCGCAGAGTTAGTGCAATATGGCAAACAGGTCTGTGGACGATGCAGTCAACATGGGACTGCATTATGTTCTGCAACATCTGGACAGACCAGGGACTTATGTGAGGATCCTGTTCGTGGACTTCAGCTCGGCCTTTAACACTATCATCCCAAACCTCCTCCTGCCCAAACTAACTCAGCTCTCCGTGCCCACCTCCGTCTGTCAGTGGATCAACAGCTTCCTGACAGACAGACAGCAGCTAGTGAGGCTGGGAAAATTCACATCCAGCTCCCTCTACACCAACGACTGCACATCTAAAGACCCCTCAGTCAAGCTCCTGAAGTTTGCAGATGACACCACACTCATCGGCCTCATACAGGACGGTGACGAGTCTGCTTACAGACAGGAGGTTAAAGAGCTGGCTGTCTGGTGCAGTCTCAACAACCTGGAGCTCAACACGCTCAAAACTGTGGAGATGATCGTGGACTTCAGGAGAAACCCCCCTGCACTCCCCCCACTCACCAGCATGGACAGCACTGTGACTGCAGTGGAGTCATTCAGGTTCCTGGGCACCACAATCTCTCAGGACCTGAAGTGGGACACTCACATAGACTCCATTGTTAAAAAGGCCCAGCAGAGGTTGTACTTACAGGAGCTGCTGAAACAGTTCTACTCCGCCATCATTGAATCCATCCTCTGCACTTCAATAACTGTCTGGTTCAGCTCAGCTACCAAATCTGACCTCAGAAGACTACAGAGGGTAGTCCGGACTGCTGAGCGAATCATTGATACAACCCTCCCTTCTCTCCAAGAACTGTACTTATCCAGAGTGAGCAAAAGGGCTGGCAAAATCACTCTGGACCCCTCACATCCAGCACACTCCCTCTTTGAACTGTTGCCATCTGGTCAACGCTACAGAGCTCTGAGCACCAGAACGACCAGACACAGGAACAGTTTCTTCCCTCAGGCAATCCATCTCATGAACACTTAACAATAACTGTGGAACACACACTATTTATTCACTCATACACTTATTTATCTAACACACATACTCAGTCTACATTTCAATTTGCACATAATATACCTGTACATACAACTGTCTATTGTTATATACCTGCACATACAATTGTCGATTTATATATTTTTATTCCTTATTTACTTGTTCTATTTTTTATTATCTGTGTTTTTTGTTCTGTCACTGTCATTCTGTTACACTGTGGAAGCTTCTGTCACGAAAACAAATTCCTCGTATGTGTAAACATACCTGGCAATAAAACTCATTCTGATTCTGATTCTGATTACCCTATGCAGTCTGAGCCGGAAAGAGAATTGATTAGTTAATCTCTTGAGTCTTCGGGTTTTTCCGAGTCACTCGTTCATCACATGACAGCCCCATACGCTTACCCTATGCCGTCTGAGCCGGAAAGATCTCGCAATCCTGAGTTTATATCTCGCAATTCTGAGTTTATCTCTCACAATTCTGAGTTTATATCTCGCAATTCTGAGTTTAAATCAAGAAGGTAACAAGAAGGTAAAATCTACACCAGTTAAATCACAATCCAAGACATCTCAAAGACCTCCTTATATGTGTTGTACAACCTTCACTGTTCATAGTCAGACAATAAAGTCTATCATCAATAAACACTGGCATGTTCTGAGAGCTGATGACATTGGATATAGAATCTTCAAGGAGCCTCCCCTTTTTTCATATTATAGGGGACGCAACATAAGAGATCACCTAGTCAGTTCTGATACCTTCATTAAGGAGATCGCAAGATGGCGCTGACGGTGATGGCTGCCTCCGTGGCGTGCTCCGCAGTTGTTTTTATGTTTTTGTTAGTTTGTCCTGTCTTTAGTTATATCCCTGCAATCAGTTTCACCAGAGACGAATTGCTGGACATTCGGAAGTACACACCACCCGATATTTCACCGGTTTTGATTATTCTGATGTTTTGCTGGACATTGTTGTCGGGGGAGCTGCGGCGCTGATCAAGCGCTTCAGGACGCGCAGACGGGGGAAGCGAGCCGGCGCGCTCGTGAAGCTCAGACAGCGCGGATTCAGAACGCCGTTGCCAAGCATCCATCTGGCAAATCTCCGCTCTCTACCCAACAAAACGGACGAACTTCTTCTGCTCTCCCGGACAAATAAGGATTTTTCAAACTCTGCTGCTCTGTGTTTCACGGAAACCTGGCTGAAAGACGCCATTCCGGACAGCGCGTTGAGTCTGCCGGGCTTTCAGCTGTTTAGAGCAGATCGCGACGCAGAATCAACGGGGAAATCGCGCGGCGGCGGGACATGCTTTTACATCAATGAGAGGTGGTGTACAGATGTAACTGTGTTAAAGAAGATGTGCTGTTCAGATCTAGAAGTGCTCTTCATTAATTGCAAGCCGTTCTATTCGCCGCGGGAGTTTTGCTCGTTCATTCTCGTAAGTGTGTACATTCCTCCGCAAGCACACGTGAGCTCCGCTTTACAGAAACTCGCTGATCAGATCACAGAGACAGAACAACAACACCCGGACTCTGTTTTAATCATTCTCGGGGACTTTAATAAAGCAAATCTCTCCCGTGAACTGCCAAAATACAGACAGCACATCACATGTCCCACCAGAGACAGTAATATATTGGATCACTGTTACACCACAATAAAGAATGCATATCACTCTGTTCCACGGGCAGCTTTGGGGCTCTCTGATCACTGTTTGGTTCATCTTATACCGACCTACAGGCAGAAACTGAAATCAGCTAAACCTGTATTAAGGACTGTAAAAAGATGGACTAATGAAGCAGAGCAGGATTTACAAGCTTGTTTTGACCTCACTGATTGGAGTGTTTTTGAAGCTGCTGCCACCGATCTGGACGAGCTCACAGAGACTGTAACATCTTATATCAGTTTCTGTGAAGACATGTGCATTCCTACCAGGACTCATTTAACTTACAACAATGACAAACCATGGTTCACTGCAAAACTCAGACAGCTCCGTCAGGCCAAAGAAGATGCTCACAGGAAGGGGGATAATGTCTTGTATAAACAGGCTAAATACACACTGGAAAAGGAGATCAGAGTGGCAAAGAGGAATTATTCGGAAAAAATAAGGACTCAGTTCACTTCCAGCGACTCGGCATCAGTGTGGAAAAGTCTAAAAGAAATCACCAATTACAAGACACCATCCCCCAGCACTGTGGAGAATCAACACCTGGCAGACGATCTGAACGAGTTCTACTGCAGGTTTGAAAAAACACCCCACACCCGCCCTGAACACCTCTCCACACAACCATTCACACCTCCAGCAACCCCCCTCTCCCCCACACCTGCAATTCAGATCAGTGAAGACGAGGTGCGCCAGGTCTTCCGGAAGCAGAAAAGGAAAAAAGCACCAGGCCCAGACTGTGTTACACCAGTCTGTCTGAAATCCTGTGCTGACCAGCTGGCCCCCATCTTCACACAGATCTTCAACAGATCACTGGAGCTGTGCGAAGTCCCTTCATGCTTCAAACGCTCCACCATCATCCCCGTCCCAAAGAAACCCAAAATTACGGGACTTAATGACTACAGACCTGTGGCTCTAACGTCTGTGGTCATGAAGTCTTTTGAAAAACTGGTGCTGGCCCACCTGAAGGACATCACTGGACCCTTGCTGGATCCTCTTCAGTTTGCCTACAGAGCAAACAGGTCTGTGGACGATGCAGTTAACATGGGACTGCATTATGTTCTGCAACATCTAGACAGACCAGGGACTTATGTGAGGATCCTGTTCGTGGACTTCAGCTCGGCCTTTAACACTATCATCCCAAACCTCCTCCTGCCCAAACTATCTCAGCTCTCCGTGCCCACCTCCGTCTGTCAGTGGATCAACAGCTTCCTGACAGACAGGCAGCAGCTAGTGAGGCTGGGAAAATACACATCCAGCACCCGTATAACCAGCACTGGAGCTCCTCAGGGTTGTGTTCTCTCCCCACTGCTCTTCTCCCTCTACACCAACGACTGCACGTCTAAAGACCCCTCTGTCAAGCTCCTGAAGTTTGCAGACGACACCACACTCATCGGCCTCATTCAGGACGGTGACGAGTCTGCTTACAGTCAGGAGGTTAAAGAGCTGGCTGTCTGGTGCAGTCTCAACAACCTGGAGCTCAACACGCTCAAAACTGTGGAGATGACCGTGGACTTCAGGAGAAACCCCCCTGCACTCCCCCCACTCACCATCATGGACAGCACTGTGACTGCAGTGGAGTCATTCAGGTTCCTGGGCACCACAATCTCTCAGGACCTGAAGTGGGACACTCACATAGACTCCATTGTTAAAAAGGCCCAGCAGAGGTTGTACTTCCTTCGCCAGCTGAGGAAGTTCAACCTGTCACAGGAGCTGCTGAAACAGTTCTACTCCGCCATCATTGAATCTGCTTCTATAACTTCTATAACTGTCTGGTTCAGCTCAGCTACCAAATCTGACCTCAGAAGACTACAGAGGATAGCTGAGCGAACTGAGCGAATCATTGATACAACCCTCCCTTCTCTCCAAGAACTGTACTCATCCAGAGTGAGCAAAAGGGCTGGCAAAATCACTCTGGACCCCTCACATCCAGCACACTCCCTCTTTGAACTGTTGCCATCTGGTCGACGCTACAGTGCTCTGAGCACCAGAACGGCCAGACACCGGAACAGTTTCTTCCCTCAGGCAATCCATCTCATGAACACTTGACAATAACTGTGGAACACACACTATTTATTCACTCATACACTTATTTATCTAACACACATACTCAGTCTACATTTCAATTTGCACATAATATACCTGTACATACAACTGTCTATTGTTATATACCTGTACATACAATTGTCAATTTGTATATTTTTATTCCTTATTTACTAGTTCTATTTTATTTTTATTTTTATTTTATTTTTAAATTTTTTATTATCTGTGTTTTTTGTTCTGTCACTGTCATTCTGTTACACTGTGGAAGCTTCTGTCACGAAAACAAATTCCTCGTATGTGTAAACATACCTGGCAATAAAGCTCATTCTGATTCTATATATATATATATATATATATTGTCTGGCTCTTTTGTGACGTCTTGGATATATATATAATTTTTTTTTTTTAAAGAAAATGACCAATTGTTTCGCTAGATAAGACCCTTATTCTTCGGCTGGGATCGTGTAGAGCCCTTTGAAGCTGCATTCAAATTGCAATTTGGACGTTCAACCAGTTTGGCCCCCATTAAAGTCCACTATTTGGAGAAAAATCCTGGAATGTTTTCTGGAATGTTTTAAATTCATTTCGACTGAAGAAAGAAAGACATGAACATCTTGTATGACATGGGGGTGAGTAAATTATCAGGACATTTTTATTCTGGAAGTGAACTAATCCTTTAACTTACTTTTTCAAGTTATCTGTACTAAAATTTAAGTTCATTGAACTTAATGTGGCATATTTTCTCAACTTGCAATAGCACATTCAACCAAATAAACAACACTTTTTTCCATATAAATGACTTTATTGTCCCTTGCAAATGAACAAATGTTAAGGACAAACTCGTAAAACATGTTGAAATCATGCAGAGATTCCAGAAATCTGTCTAAATGACATTTCAGTTACCTAGTGTTTAAAACAATTAACACATTGAAAGTGGATTACCATGAAAAAAACTCAACTGTGAAATAACTTTCAAACACGAAATCTCTGTCCCATTACATTTCAGTTACTCATTGTAAAAAAAAAAAAATGTATTTGAAAATGTAAAAAAATTTCCACTGATGCTTGGAAACTGTAAAAACATGCAGAAACAACTTTTAACTGTAAAATACACAACAACACATCTTTTAGTAGAAATGCACAACACAATTCTAAATGTTTGTAAATACAAACTAAAAACATAAATTATATAGAAATTACAGAAAGAAATACAGAAAAAGAATTTCTCAACTTAATAAAATGTTTAAAAAATCATCGTAAAATGGCATTTTTGTGTGAACTATCCCTTTAATACTATTTTGGCTTTGTTTTTAGTATTGTGAATGCACCGTGTATCGTGAGATAAGTACCGTGTATCATATATCATTTCATGACATTTACATTTAATCATTTAGTAGTCAACTTACAAATGAGAACAACAGAAGCAATCAAACGAACAAAAGAGCAACAATATGTAAGTACCGGATAACCTAACGCAGTACACAACGCCACAACGTGTTACAACACCAGATTACCAAGATTTATTTTTCTATTACCAGGACCACGTCACTGCAGATTGATGGTGCTCACTTTGGTCACACACAACTATAATTCCAATAGTCATGTCATTGATGAATTCCTGCTCAGAACCTGTGTGCTTTAATAAAAACAAAGGGTAGCATTAAAATGTGCCTTACAATCTTAAAGCTTACAGACTCTTACAGACAATGAATATGTGTACATATAAAGTAAAAAG